TATATATATATATATATACATACATATAGTTTTAGAAAAATATGAAATCAAACTAATTTTATATCTTTCATAGTTTAAATGAAAGAGCACTACACCTCAACCATGTATATATCCCCAAAGATAAACACGAGACTTGAGGGTGGGGCTCGATCAAATAAACTAAGAAATATATGATATTCGTTTGGTCTGCAAAACTATTTTATTTATAAGCTAACAAGTTCTTCTATTTAATATGAAAAATTAAATAGAGTTTATATTAAGCTGGGTTTGGAAAAGCTTCCTTAAAGGGCAAACCCCTATAGTTAATTATATCTTAGATAACCGAAGTCACATAAGAAAACTTTTGATAAAAATCAGGGGATATTATCTTCAAGGAATTTTAAAGGATAAGACTTTTTAAAGAGATCGGACTAAGAGATGTGAAAGAATAATGACTCAATTTGAAATATTTTATTTTAGAATCCGAAGGAAGAATGACTAGAGGATATCATAGATCTTAAAGGGAACCTCGGTGACTTCCCAAACTACTCTATGATTTGACTTCAATTTAGAGGAGAAATATTTAAATGTTTTATCCTACCAATTTTATTACTTTAGAACTTACATTCGTGTGAAACGATTACATAAATAGTTTGGAAGATATGATTATTTAGATCCTGACTAACGACAACCTCAAAATTCTAAAACAAGTTAGGGCTTATATTGTATAGCAGAGTTATACAAACACCTAAAAAAATGAGATTTGGGGGTGTTTAGGTAATTTGGGTAGTTTTGTGGGACAAAAGACTAAGTTGAATATTGCGGTAAAATTGGAGTGTCAACCACTCTATGTGAGTCATGGATCAATGAAATTCCCATTTGGGTCCTCTATTTACTGGTCCTAGCTAAATCCCAGCCTAGGGCTAGTGGGTCTAGAAAACCATCTACAAGAGTCTCCCAAAGGATCAATGGATCAAAATCATCTACACGAGTCTCCCAAAGGATCAATGGATCAAATTCAACAAAGTTTGGGTTTAGGGTTATGGGTGAAAGTGAGTGAAAGTGAGTGCAAGTGTGTGAGTGAGAGTAACCAAGACCACACCACCAGAGGGCTGACCCTAAGGCCAATCAGTCCTATGGGAACTCACCTTGAGCTCTCTCATATTGACCCCACCTACTAAGTGCTAGAGGTTAGGGTCAATATGTGGAACTCAAGTTGAGTAAGGAGGAGTGTAGAATTTCTAATGGTGAGGGTTCATTTTCTAGTTTTCTAAGAATAGTCAACAGGAAAGTACTAGACCCTAGACTGCTAAAGAGGAAAAACTAAATCTCAATCAAAAGTGAGGTTAACAGCTGGTAACTCTAAGTTAAAAAAAAACCAAAGCAATGCCTTTGGGGGAGCTACAGGAAGAGGTATATATGAAGATATCACCAGTATTTAGTACGTCGCAGATAGTGGACTCAAGAAGTCACAGTATGGCTTGAAGTACACTTCTCGGGCTTGGTTGACAAGTTTAGGATAGAGATGGTAGCATGTGATATCAGCATATCAATGCAGACCGCACAAGGTATTGTTTCGGCAACATGAATGTCATACTACCATACTTGTTGTGTATGTGAATAACATAATTATCACTGATGATAATAAGTCAGAAATTGCTCAACTGAAGGAAAAATTGAGGTAAAAGGTCTGGGACAACTAAGATATTTTTTTTGAGATTAAAGTGACCAATGAACCTGAGGAGATGGTTTTATCTTAGTTAAAGTATGCATCGGGGGAGCAAATCTGCAAACTCTCCAATTGATCAAAAGTTCAAATTTAGTATATAGGAAGGTGAATCGGTTGATCTTGAGAAATACCATAGGCTGGTGGCCGCCTGATCTATTTGTGTCACACTCGACTTGTTTTTATTTTTTGAAGTGTAGTGAGCTGCTACATCTAAGGAATGACCATATAGATGTAGTGTATCAGATCCTGAGATATCTGAAGTGTGCATCAGGGAAAGACAGTAAGAATGAATATGTAGAGACTGAGGGTTTTGTGGTTCTAATTGTGCAAGTTATGATGATGACAAACGATCCACATGAGGATGCTGCATGTTGTAGGCGACAATTTGGTCTTATTGAGGAGCAAAAAATAGTCAGTTGTAGCAAGATCAACAACAGAGGCATAATACAAGGCTATGACATTAGAAGTTACTGAGATGATGTGGCTGAAAACCTTGTTGGTTGAACTCAAAGTGGATCAGGGAACTCAAATGAAGTTGTGGTGTGACAACAAGTCAACAATTTGCATGGCTAACAACCCGGTTCAACATGATAGAACCAAACATGTGGAGATTGAAAGGTTCTTCATTAAGGAAAGACTGAATAACAGATTACTGGAGCTATGACATGTAGCCACTAGAGAGCAAGTGGTTGACTGCCTCACCGAAGGGCTTAGCTCAAGGAAGTATTAATGTTATCACACAATTGAGTTAAAGGTGAATTGATATAATCATAAAAAATACAAGTTTGTAACTTCAGAATCTTTAGAAAGGCAACTGCAATCCTTTTTAGCTTTGAATGACCATCTGAATCAACATAATCATTGAGACCAAAATTTCATTTAGAATATAGGTTAGAATTGATGCAATCCTTTTTTTTTTCTTAAGTTTTTTATTTGTACAAGAAAATATAAATCTTGCTAACTTTGAACTTTAATCGATAACTAGAGCTTTTCTGATTAATATTCAGTTGTTTTACAGTTAGTGTTTCCAATTTGAGTTTCGATTGAAAATACTAACTCATAGAATATAGGTTTTTCCCTAACGTGAGAATAACTTCCATGACTTGATCCATGCTTGAAAATTTGTGGATATCAAACAACCTCCTCGGATGATAATCTTTATGAGGCAAATTTAGATACAAAAAGTGATTCAAGTCAAATGCCAGTTTTGTTTTTCTTTTCAAGTCAAATGTCAGTTTAACGAGCTAATTATCGATAAAAGTCACAAATAATATGAAGTATACTACTTTGTCTATTAGGGAAGGTTACTTTGATCATGTAGTGATTCCTTCTGTTTTTGTTTTTTATGATCTTGCCGTAGCTGTTCTTGAAGGTCACTTATTAATATGAGAATACAGTGAAAGGATGGCAATAAATATATTGAAGGTGCTGGGCTAACTGAAAATTTGAGCTTATAAGAATCTTGATTTAAAAAAAATTCTCGAAAAATTATTTTTTATGGTCATTGGTGATGATTCAACGAAAGACGGATTATTCAGAGCAGGCTACATGAATAACAGGGTTGAATTTATTTTTGAAATACCACATTTACGAATGCAAAATTCTGGTTCAAAATGAAGAAATCCTAAGTACTCTGGAGACCAATTTGGTCATTTTCTTTTATTATCTATTTTCTTTGTTATAAATCTGGTTCCACCTAAGATTACAACCTCAATGATAATATGAATGACGCTGACTACGTCAGAGTCTAATTATTTTTCAATCCCATCATTAGTAGTCGACCTGATTGTTTTTGCAAATTAAATGGTCCCTTCTTATCTATTAATTTACTTCTACATTTTACCTATTCCTCTTTTGTTATTTATAGTCTCTGAACTTGTCACCTTCTCCATCTCCTTATTTGCCTTTCACTTGTTTGATATTAAGTTTTCAAGATACTGTTTTCCTTTGCTGGTTAACCTCTTGCTACAAAAAAATAAAAAAATAAATAAACAAAAAAAAGGAAGATTTACATACATTTAAATAAGACCTAAACTTCAATTTTTATGTATATGCCATCTTACCTATTGATTAAGATATGTATTTCACTTTTTAAAAGTTAAAATAGTTATATTTTTTATATGACAAGATGAATTTGTGTGTTATAAATGTAAATATTTTTTTCTGTGGTAGTTTTCATGACAGCAAAGCTTCATGTTTGTGTAGCTGAACGTCGAATTGCTGCAATCCGAGCTATCGAAGTGGCTGAAGTACACAACATGCTTGCTCGCCTTCGCATGCTTCGATCTTACTTGAGCAAGGAACAGCTACAGACTCCTGCTCTAAAATTCTTCCAAGAGAACTTGCCGAACCTCTTGGTAGTGAGAAATGAGGAAGACAAAGTGTTTGAGCTGAGGCAAAATGAGAAAAATGTTTTTGGACACGGACGTGCGTCAGTGGCTAGCACTGTTGGCGGCCAGCAATTCTCAGTGGAGTCAGGTTTAGATAGCTCCTAATATTCGCATTGAAAATGTCCTTAGATGCTAAAGACCCGCTTGGTATCATTTTTATTTTTTTTTATTTTTATTTTTAAAAATATATATTTTTTAGTGTATTCTTTATATAATTTTTATTTTGTTAAAAATAAATCAACATGTTTTTGAAAATACTCAAAATAACTTTTTGCTGTTTTGAATTTTTAAAAGCAACCATGCCTTAATCAAAATTTTCAAATATATTTTTCTTCAAATCAAAACATAAACAAAATAAAATAAAAAAAAAAAATAAAAAATAAAAAATAAAAATACTTCACATCAAAACATAAACAAAATAAAATAAAAATAAAAAATAAAAAATAAAAAATAAAAATGATCCCAAACTGCTCCTAAGAATTAAAATTTTTTTTTTCTGTTTGCAGTGAAGCACAGTTTCCTAAATGCAGCTGGGCTAGAAATCTCTGATTTTGTAAGTTGCATCATGATTTGTGAACTTTAGAACTTCTTTTAGTCCCTTTACTCTCTTCTTTATCGAGGTACTTCTCCCATTTTAATTGATTACAGGTTCTTGATGGTGCAGTGGACACTCAGATGTCTCAGATGCTGGGTGTGGGAAATGGTTTCCAAACTCCTGGGGTTTGTTACTCTTTCTGTGTTAATATACTTCTTTTAATAGTTTCCTAATGAGAAATCTGTATATATATCCCTATATTTTGATGTTCCTCTGAAAATGAATATTAGCTTTTAAATTTTGTGAAGGACAACAGTTTATCACATTTTGTGAACAAGACCAATTGACTCTATCATGGATGTTTGAATATCTTTAACAGTTTGTTTGGGACAATTGCAGTTTTTTGTTGGTGGTCGTAAAACTGTGGCGATAAAATCAACCTTTTAGAAAATTATGATTGGAATTATAAATATTTTTTTTACCGAAAAATCAGAGAGCAACTTTTTTGCTGTCATCATACTTAAATAAATCAGGTTGTAAAAAGTAGCTTTCAATACATAAATTTTTAAAAAATAGTAATAAACAATTTCTCAAACAATCTTAAAGTGACTGAAATGCAATGCAAGTTGAGAAAGCTGTCCGAAACAAACCCTAAGTCTCTAATATTACTAATTGAGCTCACTATAAAATCTTGTTATGAAATCCATACTATGAAGATATTACTCTACTAGTGATACTAGGATTTTAGGACAACGCTAACAGGATTACGATTCTCTAATGGTAATACTAGGATATCAAGAAACTTAGGCATGCATTAAATGATTTTAAGAAACCTTAGCATATTTTTTTAGGTTAGTTGTCTTTACAAAATAGCATGAATTATTGGACTTATTTACAAAGTTCAAAACTATCCAACATTAAACAAGTATATGTGTATGTCATTGTAGTCCGTTGGTTGAGATCTTAGGCTATCAACCAATAGATTTTAGATTTAAGATTTTGTATATCCGATGTGTGTAAATTTGCAATTAAACTCACCTAGAAAAAAATATTAAACTTTATACTAATTTTCCTTTGTTAATTTAGAGACCACTAGCCAACTAATTTGTCATGTCTGTCTTTTAATTATGCTAGAGTTGTATAAATTGCAAGTATTTTCAAAATTGCACTCTCAAGTTTGAAAGAATTCATGAAGAGTAAAACTCACTTCTCAGATAGAATGAATTTAAAAATGAGGATTCAAAAAAGCCAACCTCAGATGCTTAGTACTCGAGCTGAACCATTGCTACCTATATATCCTTTGAATGTTTTATTAGATGTTTATGGCTTTGTCAATCTATAAACCAGCTAATCATTCACCAAAATTCATCAAATTACTATGGCTGTGAAATAATTCATTAACTATTCCAACCTATATTCTTCATGAAAAACTATGGCTGATTTACCATGTGGCCGAGTGATTCTAATAATCATATTTCCTGTTAACTTGAGGTGCTTGTATGTCATTAGACTCCAATTTGCTGTTTATGCCTAGCTGATTTGTTACAGGGGACGAGCAACCGGTCATCATTCGGTGTGACGTCGGCGACGAGAACTTCTAGACGGCCGATGCAAGGGGAAATGCTTCTTTCAATTCGTGGCTCGCCTCTAGGAGTTTACAATGAAGATGAACTGGAAGCAATTCATGGTCTGTTTACTTTCTCATTTCCTTCAAAATTTAATTGGATTCTCAATTACTACTATGTATATGGCTTAATGAGTAAACTTTAGTCCCGGAGTTTATAAACATGCTAACTTGGTCCTAGATTTTTTTAATGGGAGCTAAAATAGTCCTTGTTAGGGATTTTTTTCAACTTGTATTAAAAGAGTTTAGGAACTAAATTGATATTTTTTTAAGCTATGGGACTAAAATGACCCTTTGCAAAATGTCATTGGGCCATTTTGACACTTTTCTCATGGTTTGAATTAATCACTGATTATTTGCAGAATCTGGTGATGGCTCTCATGGTGATTCCTCTGGATAGTGCTGAGAAGCTGCTGCTGGTTTCAGAAATCTAGTAAGCTTTTGCCAGCTTCCATGCAAGCAAAAGCATACATTTTGCTGTGTTATGTTGAATGTAGCTGATCCAGATCCAGCACATCAAGGAATGAACTTTTTGTAATTTTCTTCAGAGGTAAAGTTGTGAATTATTCAGGGATTCTGTTCATTTAAAGTATGGTTGTTTCGTTGGAGGTGGATCTGCTTGATTTTGTCTTGGGCGTTTGGTTAATTGGATTTACCTTAAACAATGTGAATAAATGCATTATTATTATTATAGAATAAAATGAGACAATTTTCGAACAAAACTCCTCGTCAACCAAATGTAAAATGTGGTTTTTTTTTGGAAGATTTGACATACATACTTTTGAATCCTTTTGTATTTACATATAACACTTTAATTTATACATATGCCTATTTATCTATCCATGAAAAGTTGTATTTGTCATGACCCGGCTCAGTGCTTAGAATTAACTATGGCGGGAACTGTGGCCAGACAGCATTAACATTTAATTTTACTTTGCATAAATTATTTTAGAAACTTTCAATATATAAAAGTCATTAATCTACCAAATACAATAAAATTAAACTTTCAAAATTAACAATATAATTTAAAAGCTACATTTCAAATCATTGTTGAATAGTATATCAATATTTGAAAGAAATCGTAAAAAGAAATAACAGCCACAACATAAATATTATCTATTAGTTGTAGTTATTCTATTGTAAATTAAATATTTAATATTAGACATATCAACTTAAAATTTTTATTATTCTAAAAAAAATATTAATTTTAACTGTACGTTTGACTTAGTGAGTAATTATGATCTTTATGTGTATTAAATTATAATGCTTTTGCGATGCATGAATGATAAAAAAAATGCAGCACATTATTGTAGAAAACCTTGAACTTTAACTTTAATTTCATCCCTTATAGTTTCACTTTAAGTTTTTACCATTTTAACCTCATTAATAATTATAACAGGATTACTGTCATACCCGAATGTTTTCTCAAAAATATACTCGATAGTACATTCAAAATGTACACGTATCGACCCTAAAAAATGTACATGAAGGTACCTCAAATTGCACCCAAATATATACTTTTACCGTTTCTTTTAACTTACACGAGTACATCGCATCTTCTGTCAGTACGATATAGGGGTAATCCTATATGACTACATTTATATTTCATTAAAATGTACATTTGTATGACAATTTTTTTTCTTCCATTTGTGATACCATTTAAGACTTTCCTGTCAGTACGATATAGGGGTAATCCTATATGACTTTACATTTATATTTCATTAAAATGTACGTTTGTATGACAATTTTTTTCTTCCATTTGTGATACCATTTAAGACTTTCAAAATGGCAAACATGAATGAAATGTCTGTTTTAAACCATTTAATAAAGCAATTATTCATTAAATAAAATATTAATTTAATGCATAAAGAAAATAATCTAATATTTGCTTTTAAGAGATATTTGAAATAGTATAACTCTTCACTTTATTGTACTTCTCCTAGCACTTTGACCTCTCTATTTCACCTTGATTTAGTTGTTTGATAAATTAACATTACTAATTTTAATTAATAAAATTGTTGAAATGAAATTAACAACAACATTAATTAACTAAGTTATATAATCAATACATAAAACTAATAAATCTTCACCTTATCACTATGAAAGGCATTGTTTGACTTCTTTCTCAAAATTATAACTCCCTCACTTCAAGTACTTCCTGATTACGATTACATTTACTAGTAACACTTAATGAATAAACTTAAATATATACATATAAAATTTGCTAATTAAATTAATAAAACTGAAACCTACCTTTGCGGATAACAGACACAATATTTTTTTCTGGACGAAGGCCCGCTCCTCTGCTTCTTCCTCTACTTGACGAAAAAATATTACGTCAGGATTCCAATAACAATTTGTCATGTGTACGGTCCGACCCTGTCATACATTAAAGTATTTTTTTTTTTTAATTCAGTGGGGTCAGACTATACGCTTGGGGCATTGTGATTGGAGTCCTATGCAGTTTTTCATCAGAACTTCTGATGTGATCATGTGAGTTCCCTCCTCCTCTAGAGCCGCACGCCCACGACTTCTTCCTTTCCGTCATGACATCGCTTCTCCTTGACGCACGACGTAGGCTTATTGCTCTTTCAGACTGTAGCAATGCACAAAGCTAGTCCTCCTTCCTTCCTCTTCTTCATCGCTCGAATAAGAAGCAACGAGGCCGATTGGGTGTGATAAGTTTTGCACGATAAGGGTAAACTGCGTGAAGCTTTCTCCTCCTTCGGATGATCCGCTAGGGCTCGTCGTCGCCTCCTACACATGCAAATCACTCCTACTGATGCACAAGGTGACTTCTTCTTCTTCTTTTTTTCCTCTCACACTCTCGGCTCCGACAGCTTCTCCTCTCCTACTAGATCGCTCGTTTGTTTCTTTGGTTGGAATGAGTAATAGGACTCTCAAGTCATAGTGCCTATTCGATTTGGTATTATGATTTTTATTTAATTTTTATTTATTTATTTGTTTTATGTTATTACAATCTCCAATCCTTCTAAAAATTTTGTCATCGAATTTTGAAAATATTTAAAACAAAAATAAACATAATTCAAACAAAAAGTTGTAGATATATTTCTTGTATCTCAGAGACTTTCCCCAGAGTAGCATCATTCTTCGACTCATGCTTCCATAAAATCTTCACAAAAAAGATTACTCTGTTCCGCAGCTTTTTCACATCATAATTCAATATACTTTCAGGTTCCTCAACATAACTTAAATCAGGTTGAATATCAACTGAGTTTATTATCATCCTACTAGATTCATCCATATTATACTTTATGAGTGAAAAAATATGGATGACTTTATGCACTCCCTGCATATGAGCTGGTAAATCAAATCTATAAGCTACCTTCCTGATCCTCTCCACAAGCTCAAATACATATGAGCTGGTAAATCCAATCTGTAAGCTACCTTCCTGATCCTCTCCACAAGCTCAAATACATATGAGCTGGTAAATCCAATCTGTAAGCTACCTTCCTGATCCTCTCCACAAGCTCAAATACATATGAGCTGGTAAATCCAATATGTAAGCTACCTTCCTGATCCTCTCCACAAGCTCAAATACATATGAGCTGGTAAATCCAATATGTAAGCTACCTTCCTGATCCTCTCCACAAGCTCAAATACATATGAGCTGGTAAATCCAATATGTAAGCTACCTTCCTGATCCTCTCCACAAGCTCAAATACATATGAGCTGGTAAATCCAATATGTAAGCTACCTTCCTGATCCTCTCCACAAGCTCAAATACATATGAGCTGGTAAATCCAATATGTAAGCTACCTTCCTGATCCTCTCCACAAGCTCAAATACATATGAGCTGGTAAATCCAATATGTAAGCTACCTTCCTGATCCTCTCCACAAGCTCAAATACATATGAGCTGGTAAATCCAATATGTAAGCTACCTTCCTGATCCTCTCCACAAGCTCAAATACATATGAGCTGGTAAATCCAATATGTAAGCTACCTTCCTGATCCTCTCCACAAGCTCAAATACATATGAGCTGGTAAATCCAATATGTAAGCTACCTTCCTGATCCTCTCCACAAGCTCAAATACATATGAGCTGGTAAATCCAATATGTAAGCTACCTTCCTGATCCTCTCCACAAGCTCAAATACATATGAGCTGGTAAATCCAATATGTAAGCTACCTTCCTGATCCTCTCCACAAGCTCAAATACATATGAGCTGGTAAATCCAATATGTAAGCTACCTTCCTGATCCTCTCCACAAGCTCAAATACATATGAGCTGGTAAATCCAATATGTAAGCTACCTTCCTGATCCTCTCCACAAGCTCAAATACATATGAGCTGGTAAATCCAATATGTAAGCTACCTTCCTGATCCTCTCCACAAGCTCAAATACATATGAGCTGGTAAATCCAATATGTAAGCTACCTTCCTGATCCTCTCCACAAGCTCAAATACATATGAGCTGGTAAATCCAATATGTAAGCTACCTTCCTGATCCTCTCCACAAGCTCAAATACATATGAGCTGGTAAATCCAATATGTAAGCTACCTTCCTGATCCTCTCCACAAGCTCAAATACATATGAGCTGGTAAATCCAATATGTAAGCTACCTTCCTGATCCTCTCCACAAGCTCAAATACATATGAGCTGGTAAATCCAATATGTAAGCTACCTTCCTGATCCTCTCCACAAGCTCAAATACATATGAGCTGGTAAATCCAATATGTAAGCTACCTTCCTGATCCTCTCCACAAGCTCAAATACATATGAGCTGGTAAATCCAATATGTAAGCTACCTTCCTGATCCTCTCCACAAGCTCAAATACATATGAGCTGGTAAATCCAATATGTAAGCTACCTTCCTGATCCTCTCCACAAGCTCAAATACATATGAGCTGGTAAATCCAATATGTAAGCTACCTTCCTGATCCTCTCCACAAGCTCAAATACATATGAGCTGGTAAATCCAATATGTAAGCTACCTTCCTGATCCTCTCCACAAGCTCAAATACATATGAGCTGGTAAATCCAATATGTAAGCTACCTTCCTGATCCTCTCCACAAGCTCAAATACATATGAGCTGGTAAATCCAATATGTAAGCTACCTTCCTGATCCTCTCCACAAGCTCAAATACATATGAGCTGGTAAATCCAATATGTAAGCTACCTTCCTGATCCTCTCCACAAGCTCAAATACATATGAGCTGGTAAATCCAATATGTAAGCTACCTTCCTGATCCTCTCCACAAGCTCAAATACATATGAGCTGGTAAATCCAATATGTAAGCTACCTTCCTGATCCTCTCCACAAGCTCAAATACATATGAGCTGGTAAATCCAATATGTAAGCTACCTTCCTGATCCTCTCCACAAGCTCAAATACATATGAGCTGGTAAATCCAATATGTAAGCTACCTTCCTGATCCTCTCCACAAGCTCAAATACATATGAGCTGGTAAATCCAATATGTAAGCTACCTTCCTGATCCTCTCCACAAGCTCAAATACATATGAGCTGGTAAATCCAATATGTAAGCTACCTTCCTGATCCTCTCCACAAGCTCAAATACATATGAGCTGGTAAATCCAATATGTAAGCTACCTTCCTGATCCTCTCCACAAGCTCAAATACATATGAGCTGGTAAATCCAATATGTAAGCTA